GAGGTCTATTAAGAAATTCTCTTAAGTTTTGTGCTCTTTATGGGGTCTTTATGTACCTTCTTTTATTTATTTTTAAGATTTTTTTCACTTCTTCAAAGGCAGGGGGAGTTGCAAAAAAGAGCGAGAAAAATTCTCAAGCACACTTCCCACTGAGCACAGAGTCTAGCACTGGACTGGATCGCAGGACCCTGAGATCCTGACATGAGCCAAAATCGAGAGTAAGATACTCAACCTACCGAGCCACCCAGGTGCAACTATGCACTTTCTTTTTTGAGAGACTGTTTTGCAGGTACCTGGGTGGCTCAGTCAGTTAAGTGTCTGCCTTTGGCTCAGGCCATGATCCCAGCATCCTGGGATCCAGTCCCATGTTGGGCTCCCTGCTCAGTGGAGAGCCTACTTCTTCCTCTCCTTCTGCTGCTCACCCTGCTTGTTCTCTCTCATTCTATCAAATAAATCAATAAAATCTTAAAAAAATTAAATGAAAGGCTGTTTTGCCAAATTTGTAATTCTTGTTTGACAAAGGTTTTTTTTTTGGGGGGGGGGGTAGAAACAAAGCTGATCTGTTTCTTGTTGTTATTGCTGTTTCAGTACTTGAATTTGACCTTCCCTGTCTCTTATTGTTCATTGTTTCTGGTAAGAACTCATCTAATAATCCTACTGTTATTTTTTCCTAAACATAATGACTAGTTTTTCACTTGCTTCTGTCAAGATCACCTTTTTGGGTTTGTTTGCCTTTTATTTTTTGAGTTGTGGCAAAAAAAGTCCATATATCATAATTTACTACATTTCAGTGTTAAAAAATTAGACTTTTATTAGATCAGTTTTAGGTTCACAGGAAGACTCGACAAAGTGTAGAGATTTCCTATATTCTCCTACTGTCTCTGTGTCTATGCACACATAGTAGATAGATTCTCATTTTCAATTACTTTAAGTTTTACCCTTGATTTTTTTTACTCGCATTTTATGAGAAATACGTAATGACATGTATCAACCTTTATGGAATTATAGAGAGTGGTTTCACTGCCTAAAAACATCCTCTGTGCTCCACCTAGCCATCCTTTCTTCCCTGCCAAATCCTATCAACCACTGATCTTTTTTGAGTCCGTAGTTTTGTTATTTCCAGACTGTAATATAGTGGGAATCGTATACATTATCTCACATCTTATATTTACAATCAGGCATCTTAACTGACATTAAGCATACAGTTTAGGAGTGCTAACTATGTTCACATTGTTGCATAAACAGATTTCTAGAACTTTAACCGTGTAAACCTGGAACTATACTCATTGAATAATAATTTCCCTTCTGTACTTTCCCCTTATCCTTAGTAATCACCATTCTTCTTTCTGTTTCTGATTTTGAATACCTTACATACTTCGTATAAGTGGAATCATATACTGTTTTGTGTAGGTGTGTATGTGACTGGATTATGTCACTTTGCCTAAAGTCTTGCAGTTTCATCCATATTGTAGCATGGAATAGGATTTCCTTCTTTTAAAGGCTGAATAATATTATATCCTTATGTATATTTTCTTAATCAACTGATCCCTCACTGGACATCTGTGCTGCTTCTACCACTTGGCTCTTGTGAATAATGCAGCAGTGAGCATGGATGTACAGATATCTCTTTGAAATCTCACTTTCAATTCTTTTATGTATTTTCCTTTATTGCTGATTCATATGATAATTCTATTTTAATTTCTTGAAGCAGCTCCATACTCTTCTTCATAATGGATGACCAATTTATATTCCTAACAAGAGTGCACAACAGTCCTCTTTTTCTACCTCCTTACCAACACGTTTTTGATAAAATCCAACCTAAACAATATGAGGAGATATCTCTTTGGTTTTGATTTGCATTTCTCTGATCATTAGTGATATTGGGAATCTTTTCATAAATTTCTTGAGCATTTGTGTATTTTCTTTGGAAAAAGTGTCTATTCTTTTACCCATTTTTAATTGGGTTATTTGGGTTTTGTTTTTATTAATGATTTATGGGATTCCTTATAAATTTTGGATATGAATCTCTTGTTTGATGTATGATTTGCAAGTGTTGTTTTTTTTTTCCCCCTCACTTTGCCTTTTCATTCTGTTGATCATGCCCTTTGTTGCACAGAAATGTCTTAGTTTGATGTAGCCCATTTGTCTATAATGGATTTTTTTCCTTTGAGGTCTTTGCTTTTGGTAGCATGCTCAGGAAATCATTTCCAAATATGATGTTACTTCTCTTCATGTTCTCTTAAAGGAATTTTATAGTTTTACATCTTATGTTTAAGTCTTTAGTCCATTTTGAATTAACTTCTGTATATGGTGACAATATAAGTATCCAGCTTCATTCTTTTGCATGCGGATAGTCAGTTTCCCATCACCATTTGTGAAAAATCCTATTTTTTTCCCATTTGAATGGCGTTGGTACTCATATCAAAAATTGATTAGACTGAATATATATGGATTGTGTATCTGGGTGTAATTTGAAGTTATTGGTTCCACAGAAGATTTAGGGCCTGGAGCTTCCTGTTCCTTTGTCTTGCTGATTGTATTCCCCCTCCAGTCTGAACTAGCATTTAGGTCAGGTATGGATTCTGTGGTAGATACAATTGTTTAATATTGCTGAAGGTGAAAGATCTATTGCTCATTTCCTGACTTTCACACTGACTTAAGTCACCTGTTCCCTCAAAAGCATTTCTTGTCGGTGTTTACAAGTGTTTTTGGTCATTTCATTTTACATCAGTCTTGAGAGGTGGATTTGTATGTGCTTACTTATCCTATCAGTAGTTTGCTAGCCCTCTGGTGTCCATAAATATTTTTAAATGATATTTAATAAGCTTTTCCTTCATCATGACTTTAGATTGTTGTTCTGTTTTTTTATCTGCCTCTGCTGTGGGTTTGTAGTTAAACTTATGCTGGATTCCCTGAAACTGTTTCTAAGATCTCTAAACTGTTAATTTTTCTCTCTCTTCTTTCTCATTCTATGGGATGAATAATTTGTTACTCCTTTCTCAATTTCATCAACCTTTTCTACTGTATCTCAAATTTTCTGTAGAGCCAATAATTGAAGTTTTCATTTCAAGTATGAATTTATAAACTCAGAATTTTCTGTGGTTTATTCATATAGTTTTATTTCTCTATTGATATTTCCTACTTGTTATATTGCTGCCACCATATGTTCATTTAACTATCTGAACATTGTTTTCTTTATAATTTACATATATTTGTAAACGTTACTTTAAAATACTTTTTTCTCTAATAAATCTAACATCTTCTCTCAGTAGAAATTTCTATTGACCTACACTTTCTCTTAGTATGGAAGATATTTTCCGACTTTTCTTCATTTTTCCTAAATTTTTAAAAAGTTTTATTTATTTTATTTTAGAGAGAGAGAGCTTACCCACATATGTACGTGTAAATGAGGAGGGGCAGAGGGAGAGGAAGAGACAGAATGCAGGCAGACTTCATGAGTCTGAGTGTGGAGCCTAATATGGGGTTCAATCCCAGGACCCTGAGATCATGACCTGAGCCAAAATCAAGAGTTGGCTGTTTAACCAAATAAGCCACCCAAGTGCCCCATTTCTTAATTTTTTCAGTAGACATTTTTGATAATATAGTTCAGTGAACATGTATTCTCTTTCCTTTTTCCTAGATTTATTATTTTTATAGTTGCATAGACTTTACTGCAGAATATTCTCCTCTAAAGTGGGCCTCCTGATACTTTTGTTCAGTTTTTCCAAATTCGTATCGTTTATTTTTATTTTTAACTTATATTCCTAGGGATTGTCCTTGTGATTTTGCACTTTGGATCTCAACTGCTAATTTTTTAGAAGACTGTATTCAAATACTGCAAGTCAGTAAGACTTTCTCCCTCTTCCCTGTGATGTGTATGCATGTGTGTGTGTGTGTGTGTGTGTGTGTGTGTGTGTGCATGTGAGGTTGGGAAGGGAGTACTCATAACTGTAGCACTTCTCAAGTCTTCTTCAGCTTTTACTTTCTATTCAGTTCATCTCGGTCTCCTCAACCTGTGCACATATTTTTCCATAAGCTAAGAGTATGTAGAGAGCTAATGTCATCTCTTCAGTCATACTTTTCCTACAGTACCTTCCTATTATACCTACAGGAGTCAGAGTCCTTGACACTAAACCACAACCTCTGACTAGAAAAGTATGGTTTTCCTCATTTGTACCAAGCAAAATCAGCACTTTGAGCTGAAAAATCAGTGTGCTATTTTGTCCCCTTCCCCACTGCTAATCAAGTCTGCCTTTGTGGCACCAGCACCATTCTTTTTCACACCTTCTCCAAATTGAATAAGCTACAGTTCTTGATCACTGAGCTAGGGTGAGTGGTGGGAGGTGTGAGAGTTGTCCTAGATAATAAGATGACAAATGTTCTTCTTCTCACTTGAAATATCTAGGACTGTTTCCAATATAAATATTTCATAAAATATTGTTAACCTTTGATAAATTTTCAGAATTCTGAAATTGTTGTCTTTGTAAATTTGTCATCTTCACTAACTCCTATTCATAAACTTTTAGAATGTGTCCAGTATGAAACATTGTATTATAATTTGAAAGATTCTATAGAGTAAGAAAGAATTAACTTTGTTACTAGAAAATTCAAATGAGTATAAGAACTTTTGTTTGATTTCTAATAAAATTTGTTTTCTCATAGTATTTCTTGAAGTTTTTTACTAATACTTCATGGATTAGAGTCTCCCAAAGAAGAAATAATAGTTTATCTGTGTGGCCAAAAGAATCAACATTTCTTTCCAAAGTGTAAGTTTCTTGAGAACTTTTGTATTTTGTGCCTTAAAAGAATTAATCTTACAAAGAAAAACAGCAATATGTGAACAATTATATAAACACAATTGTTGAAATGTTTTCTAAATGAATTGTATGGGAAATATTCAGATTTAGATATATTACTATTAGTTGTAATAAATTGTTACTTCATCAAAATATTATGGTATATATTGGTAGGATTAATGAAGATAATTCTCTGTATTTCAGGTTTACAGCGTCATCGAAGAGTGACCATACTTGTCCATATCTCAATTTTAACTTGAAGAAACATTTACCTTCATTATGCTCAATAATTAGAACATACATTTGTAAGCACCAGGCATTTTAGTTACTTAATTTTGGTATAATGTTATCTCACCATCTATAAAGAACATATTTCTAATTTCTTCAAAAGCCATACAATTATTTTTTCAGAATATTTTTCAGGTATAATTTTTCAGAGCAATTTTATGTTCACAAAAATTTAAGAGGAAGGTACAGAGTTTTCCTCAATAGCTTCTGTCTGCACACCTACCTCTCCCTGTTATTAATGTCATCCACTAGAATGGTTCATTCATTACCAAAAATGAATCTACATCAATGCATCATGAACACCCAAAGTCCAATTTGTACATGAGGTTTCACCCTCAGTGTTCTCAAACTATTTTTCATTATTTATTAGTATCAATGTAAAAAATGTATACTGAGGTACATATTATGCATTTCTTAAGCCTTTGCTATTTATTAAAATTAATTATATATGAATTAGAAATCATAACATTATTGTAAATTTCTCAATTAAGTGAATATCTATTCATATTTCCAAATTAATTGATTTTTTTTGATTAATTGATTTTTTTTTTGTCTGCAAATGAGGGTCGAACAGCCCATGGTGGCAGGATTACCGGTCAGAATGGAGTCAGGAGACAGAAACCAGGGGAAACTTTATTATGTATTTGTAAGAGAAAATGTACTAAGAGCAAAGTCTACTAAGATTTAAAAAAATTATAAGGATACCTTAGGGGTAAAGGAGAGTACCCAAAGGTCTGATCACTGGGAAGCCAGGTTTACCCTCTGAAGATGGGATTCAGATATCATTGAAGACAACGTGCCTACACACAGCTTTAAGGCAGACATGCTCATGGGATTGACCTGGGACAGTGCAGCTCCATAGTCCACAGGCTGAAGTTGGTGAGGATGGATCTCAGGCTGTGACTGGCAAGCAGGAAGAATGCCTGCCAGATTGTTAGGGGGGCACAGAGGAGAGTGCAGGAAGGATGACTGACTTTGGCCACAAAAACTTACTGGAGGCTGAATACATAGGACTTCCTGCATGCATGCAGCTGGGAACCAAGCCATAGTGGCCAAACACCATGAAAACATCATGGAAGCAGGAAGAAGGGCCCTTTCTGCTGCAGTGTGTCTCCATTGCCTCTTACTGACAAAACTCAATTTCATGTGAGCTGACAGGGGAAAGAATTGTATAGCACCTACCTCCATTTTGTGAGAATAGGGCAGTAAGGGATTGATTTGGAGCTAGGAGTACTCAATTGTTAACAGACATTCAGATCATGCAACCACCAAAGGGTGGCTATATAATAGCTTTTCACATCTGTCCCACTTTCTCAGAGAATGGAACCAATGTGTACCTTCAGGATCTGTTTTACTGCAGCACCATCAAAGATTAGGTTCATTATTTGGCAGAGATTGGTCTTTCATTGGATAAAACCAGTGTCCTTTCATACTTTTTCCTGTGTCTTTTTTCCCTCTCTTGGATTTCAGATATATTGGAAGAGATTTTCTTTTTTTAGTTCTCCACATCACCATCTCTGTTGTTCTTTACTACTATGCTAAAAAATACTTTGATTCAAAAAATAAAATGTTAAATAAGAAAGAAAACAAAAGAATTAATAGTATAAAGATATTGGTGTAGAGCAAACAGCTAATTATTACCAGAATTCAGGACAAACTTTAGTACTTTGATAATGATTCAGAGATATATCTACCCTTATTCAATTACAAGAGGGCAAGAGATTCTTGGATTATTATTTGCAAAATAAATTCATATTTTATATATATTTATCTCTGAATATAGACATATTCTTTATATTCTCTGTACTTATTCCTTATACTCATATTGGGAAATTATATGACTATTCAAAAATCAATTTCATATAATATGTAAATGGAGCTATAACTAATTGCTAAAGTTGTGTTTGCATTGACATTTTAAAATAAGCATTTCTTCCTCATTCATCTGTGGCTTGGCTGGATTTTACTTGATCAAGGCTAAGCATGTGCTTGACTCCAAACTGCAGATTCAGCCCAGATATTTTTTATGTATTTTATTCCTAGAGGAGCAGGCTACCTGGTATACAATCTTTTATGGCAGAGATTAGCAGCAAGCAGAAACTACTTTTTAATGCCTAGACTCTGAACTCACAAACTATCACGTTCCCACTTATACTATATTGTGAAAACAAGACAAGTGGCCAAACTTATTATTGACTGCCTGCAAACTATATCTTTTCAAGGTGCTCAGGTGGAAGAAATGTAGACTCACTGAAAAATAACCTAATGTATCACAATAGCTCTAGGAATAATATTCTCACTGTATTTCAAGAGATAGATTAGTCTGCAAAAGAAAAATAGTGGGAAATAGACGAAAAAAAAGAATACTGTCTAACTTCCCACCTAGTTCTTTGTGTCTTTTGTGTAGTGGTAAACATCATCTTATAGATGGTTTCACCAGAGTCTTTGATCAATTTACAAAAGGAGAATAAGCAGTATGGTATAAAGTTTAAAGGCACTGGCAATGAAACCAAGTCACTTCAACATATTTTCTAAATGCATACTCTTAGCCCTGTGACTCATTTTTTTTTTTAATTTTATTTATTTGTTCATGAGAGACACACACACACAGAGAGGCAGAGACACAGGCAGGAGAAGCAGGCTCTATGCAGAGAGCCTGACATAGGACTGGATCCCGGGTCTCCAGGATCAGGCCCTGAGCTGAAAGCGGCGCTAAATCGCTGAGCCACCCCGGCTGCCCTGTGACTCAATTATATAACTGCTCTGGCTCAGTTTCCTGTCCTGGAAAACATGATAGAAATGATATCTTATTCCAGAGTTACTTGAAGATTATTTGAAAATTACCTTCTCAGCATACAGATATTTACTAGATCTCAGTCATTTTGACCAAAGAACTTGACACTTCTACACCAATCACCTATGACATGATGACCCTAATTGTAGCCACCTCATAGGGCTGATCTGAGGAATCAATAATATGTCTAAAGTTCGTGAAAATAAATCCTAACCACATTATATTCTTGCTATATGTGATCTCTTCATATTTTGCTTTTCCAAATGTTTATTAAAAGCTGTTTTCCAAGAAAACCTATGTTCTACAACTGTCTTCTTCCTTCACCCAATGAAATAACCAGATAGCAGAAATCTAATCTGACTGAACCACATTGACCATCAAAGATGTTTGCATTGGGATCCCTGGGTGGCGCAGCGGTTTGGCGCCTGCCTTTGGCCCAGGGCGAGATCCTGGAGACCCGGGATCGAGTCCCACGTCGGGCTCCCGGCATGGAGCCTGCTTCTCCCTCTGCCTGTGTCTCTGCCTCTCTCTCTCTCTCTCTCTCTCTCTCTCTCTCTCTCTGTGTGTGTGACTATTGTAAATGAATAAAAATTGAAAAAAAAAATGACATTCTTTTAAAAAAAAAAAAAAGGGGGGGGGATCCCTGGGTGGTGCAGCGGTTTAGCGCCTGCCTTTGGCCCAGGGCACGATCCTGGAGACTCGGGATCGAATCCCACGTCAGGCTCCCGGTGCATGAGCCTGCTTCTCCCTCTGCCTATGTCTCTGCCTCTCTCTCTCTCTGTGACTATCATAAATAAATAAAAATTTAAAAAAAAAAAAAAGATGTTTGCATTTGGGATCCCTGGGTGGCGCAGCGGTTTGGCGCCTGCCTTTGGCCCAGGGCACGATCCTGGAGACCTGGGATCAAATCCCACGTCGGGCTCCCGGTGCATGGAGCCTGCTTCTCCCTCTGCCTATGTCTCTGCCTCTCTCTCTCTCTGTGTGTGTGTGACTATCATAAATAAATAAAAATTTTAAAAAAAGATGTTTGCATTTATTTTTTTAAGATTTTATTTATTTATTTATTTATTTATTTATTTATTTGTGTGTGTGTGTGTATGAGAGAGAGAGAGAGAGAGAGAGAGAGAGCATGAGCTGGGGAGAAGATCAAATAGAGAGGGAGAAGTAGGGAGCCTGATGTGGGACTGGATTCTGGCACCTTGGGGTCATGACCAGAGCTGAAATCAGATGCTTAACCAATGGAGCCATTCAAGTGCCCTTAAAGATGTTTGCATTTAAAAAGTCATTTGAGAAATTTAATACACCTCATATATGGACAGTAAAGTAACTAATTCTGGATATTTATTTCCTTTTTTTGAAATCAAGTTGTAATTACTCTTCTTTCTCTTCTTGGTTAAGAACCCCAGTCTCCTCACCCAATGTGTTATGTGGACATATATAAATGCTGTTTCTTTTGGGTTTGAAGAATTTGAAAGGGATTGTCATTGTATGACAAGATAGCTTGTTGATTCTCAGATTTGGGGAACCTACCATGTCCAAGGGGAAGAAGATACTGAAATGTCCTCTTCCTTCCAATGTTGGAGAATCACATCCACACATATGCATCTCTTACCACTGAAAATGGGGAAAATTAAGAGAGAATTTGCTTAATACATTCTAATGTGGAACACCTCCCAATTTTCTCCCAAAGTATTTTTTTACATATCTAAACACATTCACAAAAAGGTGCCTAAGTCTTATATGTACTCCTGAGAAACCATATGAATTATTTGGTAAAAAGACCTTGTGTTAGGAGATCCACCAAAAGCACTGAAGATATATATATGTAGGGAACAATATTAGGAGGGTGTTAATCAAGAGTGAATCCAGAATAGAAAGATCAATGCAGAAGTCAGGGATACAAAGATCAAAATGGTAGTTTTCTCCGTGTCTAACTTTCTGAGATTATACATTAGGTACTGAACATAAAGAGCTTGTTATTTTGGGTCCTCAGTACTAAATTCAGGAGGTGTTGCCCTTTTAAAATTTACTTTTGTTGCAGCAGAGCAGAAAGAGTATTCTTTGCAGGCAGCCAGTTCCAAGGAGAATGCAAGAAGAACCGGTTTGTGTCTGTCTAATCTCATGTACCAAACTTGTTAATCTGAAA